AATAGCCAAAATACATGAAGAAGTAATACAGCTTAATAATAATAAAAAAAAAAACACAGAAAAATCATGTTAAAAATTGGTCAGAGGATCTAATAGGTGTTTTTCCAAAGAAAACATACAGATGGCCAATAAGCATATGAAAAAATGCTTAACATCACTAAGCACCAGAGAAATGCAAATAAAAACCAGAATGAAATATCACTGTACACCTGTCGGAATAACTATTATCAAAAAGACAAAAAAATAACAAGTATTGGCAAGGATATGGTAAAAAGAGAACCCTTGTGCATAGTTGGTAGAAATGTAAACTGGTGCAGCCACTATGGAAAAGAGTATGGAGGTTCCTCTTAAAGATAGAATTACCAGGGCGCCTGGGTGGCTCAGTCGGTTGGGCCTCCGACTTCGGCTCAGGTCACGATCTCACGGTCCGTGAGTTCGAGCCCCGCATTGGGCTCTGGGCTGATGGCTCAGAGCCTGGAGCCTGTTTCCGATTCTGTGTCTCCCTCTCTCTCTGCCCCTCCCCCGTTCATGCTCTGTCTCTCTCTGTCTCAAAAATAAATAAACGTTAAAAAAAAAGATAGAATTACCATATGATCCAGCAATTCTACTACTGGGTATCTACCTGAAGAAAATGAAAACACTAATTTGAAAAGATATATTCATCTCATGTTCACTGTACCATTATTTACAATAGGCAAGGTACAGAGAAACAACCTAAGTGTTCATTGATGGATGACCAGATAAAGAAGATGTGATTACACACACACATAGAAATATTACTCAGCCATAAAATCAAATCTTGCCATTTGTGACAATATGGATGGATCTTGAGGGTATAATGCTAAGTGAAATAAGTCAGAGACAAATGCTGCATGCTTTGATTTATATGTGGAATCTAAAAAACAAAACAAAACCAAGACTCATAGAGACAGAGAACAGATTGGTGGTTGCCAGAGGAGAGGAGGTTTGGGGGACTAAATGAGTAAAGGGGATCAAGAAGTGCAAACTTCCAGTCATAAAATTAAAAAAAAAAATCATGGGGATATAATGTCTAGTATGGGGAATACAGTCAATAATATTGTATTAACTTTGTATAGTGACAGATGGTAACTAGACTTATTGTGATGATCATTGCAATGCATACACCAGACACTAATATAGTATTGTATGTCAGTTACATCTCAATTTAAAAAGGAATTACAAATAAAAAATACACAAAAAACCTCCAACTTGCCTCTGAGGAACCCAGGGCTCCTGGGACCACAGTTTTAAAGGCCCATGACTTCCATTTTAGAGACTGAGGTCTAAGAGATCACAGCACGGGTTGCACAGCGGGGCCAGGAAACCCAGGGTCCTATCTCACGGGCAGTATATATTCCATTGTCTCCTGTTATGTATGAATATTAAATACTCTTAAATAAAATAAATCATATCATTAAACTAGTTAAAATAAACCATAACTTTAAAGCAAACTTCCCTTGTTAATATATTCATATTAAGAGAAGTCTTCTCTTCCTAAGTGTTTTAAAGGATGGAAGAGGGAACAGGAGACAAGGTAAAGAACAAAGGTGGGGGACCTGAGCTGGAATCAAGTGGGGGTGTCAGGGAAGGATGGCAATCCATCAAAAACAGGACTAAGGAATAGTCAACAGAGGGCCCAAAGGCCCAACATGCTTCTTGATCTTGGTACTACTTGGTGCCAATGCTTGCTTTGCAAATGCTCCATCTGAGTGAAACATCTAATTCTGTTGTGGAATTTAGATGGCACATCTAAACACTCTTCCTTTTCCACGAATTTTCCTGAAGTAGGCTGGTGACTCAATTGTAGCCAGTAATACACAAGGAAAATCTATTACAAGGCTATTAGAAGGTTCTGGAGAGGATTTTCTTTCTTGGTAAAAAGATAAAGCCCTTTAAGGAGAAAGCTTTTTTTGCTCCTGTTTTCATTTTACATGGATGAAGGAGACATTTTGCTGACATACCCATAATGGCAGAGCGGGAGCATAAACCAACCTGAGTGACTGCACCAACCCAAACTGCCTCCTTAAGAGGCAAGTCTAAGGACTTGCTTTGCAAGATTAATACCTTTTGCTAATTTAATTCATGGCTAGTAGGACAACCTGTTACTTATAGCAGGTGCACCCTAATTGGCACAAAAGGGCATCAATCACCTCAAAGGTGGAAAAATCAGAAAAAGCTTCGGAAAGAGTGATGTGGAAATTGAAACCCGAAGGATAAGTGGGAATTAATCAGATGATGACATAGAGAGGTAGGAGAAGGAAATTTTCCACCAGAGGGGTTAGCTTGCACAAAGTTACTGAGGAAAGAAAGCACGGTACATTTGATAAAATGAAAGAAGTTGAGGGTAGAAATATCAGCAGGAGCTAGGTAGTAAAGGGCTGGTTAAGGCATTTGGATCCTATTCTCAGGACATATGGAGGACACTGAAGGGCTGTAAGAGGGAAGGGACATAATCAGGTTTGCATTTTAAAATATTACTCTGGGGGCGCCTGGGTGGCTCAGTCGGTTAAGCGTCTGACTTCGGCTCAGGTCACGATCTCACGGTCGGTGAGTTCGAGCCCCGCGTCGCGCTCTGGGCTGACGGCTCAGAGCCTGGAGCCTGCTTCCGATTCTGTGTCTCCCTCTCTCTCTACCCCTCCCCCGTTCATGCTCTGTCTCTCTCTGTCTCAAAAATAAATAAACTTAAAAAAAAAAAATTAAAATATTACTCTGGTAAGGGGTGCCTGGGTGGCTCAGTCGGTTAAGCGTCAGACTCTTGATTTCGGCTCAAGTCATGATCCCATGGTTTGTGAGTTCAAGCCCCACATCAGGCTCCACACTGTCAGTGCAGAGCCTGCTTGGCATTATCTCTCCTTTTCTCTCTGCCCTTCCCCACTTGCTCTCTCTTTCTCTCAGAATAAAAATAAACTTAACAAATAAAATAAAAATAAAATAAAATAATCCTGGTGAATGGTTGGAAGAAGGCAAGAGTGAATATAAGGATCTAATTGGAGGTTATGCACATAACCTAATAGTAGGAGATGCTGATTCGGGGGTGGTGATGGAAGATGGGGAATAGGAGACAAACTTGAGAGATATTAAAATAACAGGATAGTAAAACTCAGTGTCTGATTATGGGGTATGATAGAGAGAAGTCAAAGATGAGCATCCAGATTTTTTGGCTTGGGCAGTTGGGCAGGTGGTGGTTAACTGAGAGGGAATATGGAAAGAGGAGCAAGTTTTGGGCTGTGAAACAAGCTCACCTGGGGACACAGTGTCTCTGGGATGGAACAAGGAAGTTGAACGCATGAATCTGACAGGATTGAGATTCAGACAAGACAGGTAGATGGTCATCGCATGAGTTATAGCCAGGAAAGTCATCAGCAGATGAGCGTGCCTAGGGAGCGGCTGCAGAGTGGAACAACGTAGCAGATAAGAGTAGAAGGAAGCTCCAGGGCAGACTGTCAAGTTGGAATGTGGGTTTCCTGCCTCAATAGGCATGTGACTTCGGGCACATCATTTAACCTTTCTGAGCTTCAATATTAAATGAGAATAATTAAAGCATCTATTTCATGGAATTACTGGGAAGATTAAAGAAGCTAATAATTACTAAAGCATTCTGAAAAGATCTCAACCATAGCCAACAGTAGTATTAATAGTATTCAGGGGAAACTTCTTGATTAGACACAGAAGGCACAGTGCCCAGGGCCCACAGAATGTTTTAATTTCTTTCTTATATTTTTAAATTTTATATAGAGAGAGTGAGGGAGAAGGGCAGAGGGAGAGAGAGAGAGAGAGAGAGAATCCTAAGCAGGCTTCACGCTGGGCATGCAGCTTGATGTGGGGCTCAATCCCACGAACCTGGGATCATGACCTGAGCTGAAATCAAGAGTTGGATGTTCAACCAACTGAGCTAACCAGACACCCCTTAATTTCTTTTAAAATCAGAGGAAAAGGATACTGAGGCTGAATAAAGTGTTTTAATATATGATATTAATTTTTGTATATTAACACAGTTGTAAACTATAACTTTTAATGCTTTCTTATGGAGGAAAGGGCCTACAAAGACAGAAGTGGCTAGCGTTGTGGAAGTCAAAATGCAGCCCTGCTGGTGGTAGTAGCAGGACAGAACCCGAAAAAACAGTACTTTGAGGATTGGCAGAGGAAGAAGGGAGGCAGGAGGCAGAGGAGAGTCTACGGGGAAGTCTGAGAAGGCATGGCTACCGATGCCAGAGGAAAAGGAGGAAGGGAGCTGTGCTTTGGAAGCCAGCAGCAGGGAGGCTGCAAGAAGGATACACTGTGTCAAATGCTGACAAGGGTCAGGTTGGAGGGGCACTGAAAAGTATCCAGGGGATTTAGTGACAAGGACCATGGTGCTTTTGGTTAGGGTGGTCTCAGTGGTGACAAAGCACAGTTTCTGAGGAGCGGGTTGAAGGTGAGGAAATGGAGATGGCTGCTGCAGACATCTCTCAGAAAGTTGGGCTCTCAAAAGGAGGCTCTTTAAATGGGAGCACCAGCTAGCTCACCCTGTGTCCAGACAAGTCTCTGTCTGGTTCCCACTTACGTGCAGAATTGGTTCCAGTTATGACACCAAGTGGGCCAGGGGCTCTTGCTGCCTTAGAGCTTCAGGGATAAGTCCAGAGGAGGGAGTGCTCACCTAGGAGTCCATAAGGCTAGCTGAGTAATGAAGATGAGAGCCCGGGGTGGAGATGTTCACCCAGGGCCTCTGTCCTACCCCTCCAGTCCTCCCAACTCCAGTCCTAAATGTGTATGACTCACAAGGAAACCCAGCCAGTTGGATTATTTGTCCCGTTTGATTTCAATGGACCTCTTACAACCTTTGTTCTGTTTTTAAAACAAAAAGAAATGAATCCGCTGCTCCCATGTGGCATTAGCCCAGTCTTGGGACCCACTGGAAGAGGCTGTCAGACAAAGGGGGAGGAAGGTCCTTCAGTACACTACAGCACTGGCCAATTAGGAAGACTGCTCACCAAGAGTACCTGTGTGTTTTTGTCCAGTGTGTCTTGCTGGGGGGATCCTCCATGATCCTCCATGATCATATGATAGTTGCTCAGAAGCACATCTTCCAAAAGCAGCTGCATGCCCACCAGCTCTCCATGAGCCACCTTCAGATCATGGTCACTCAGCCTACAGAGGCACAGCTAAAAACAAAACAAAACAAAGAACAAAATGAAACAAAACACCCATCTTGAAGATTTCTATGTATCCCTTATACATGATTTTGGGGGAGAAAACTAGGAATAATTGTGTTTACAAACCCCGCCCTCTCCACTATTAGAAAAATCTGTAAAAATCAGAGTAACATTTCTAGCTGAAAGGCTTCCTTGAACATATCAGACTTTTGGCCTTGTATGGAAGTCCATTTCCCAGCACTTTACAGTGAGTGGTATTTGTATATGGCGAATGCATAGTGTGATATCAATTTTCTTTTGAAAGTACAGATAGAGACACATGCATGCATAGGGAAAGTACTAGAAAAAATAAACCAAAATGTGAACGGTGATTGTCTCCTACTGGGGGAAATATGATTTATTTTTTTTAACCATTTTTACTATGTTACTTTAAAACACCCAAACCTTTTTAATTTTGAGCCTATACAGAAGTAAACAGTAGAGTTCCCACCACCCAGCCCTAAGAACCATCAGCCTGTGGCCAATCCTGCCCCTATCTTCATCACTCTCCACTTCTGTATTATTTCGGAGCAAATTTATGATTGATTTTCATGTTTAATACTTTTCCATATTTTCTATTTTTAAAAATGAAAACACAATATTTGCTTAGGTAATCAGGGAGGAAACACATAATTGAAAGAAATTCTCCTTATGAATCCTGCTTAAAGAGTTCTCTTCCTACCACCATTCACAGGCAGACCGGGAGTTACATACCCCTGAGCTTCCAGCCTGGGTGTTTCTCTAAGAGGTGCAGAGAGTGACTGGAGATGGCTGGTCACTCTCCCAGGTCATTACTGGCCATGAGAATTGCAGCTGAGTCTACAACCAAGGCCCATACCAGCTGAGACCATGATTCTCTTCTGTCATAAGAAAACATGACTCACCTGGTAGCATTGGATTTACAGCTTCATAATCAAACATCCTGCTTATCTCATAAATTATTCACCATTGACCTATGGACCCAATGAAACCTGCTTTGCAGTCTGCATTCAGTTCTTTATGCCATGAGTGGGAAGAACTATCCTACCTGCATATTATACTCTAGGGTATCTGGGCTGCTACCCATAACTGGAAACAGTCCTCCATCTTCTAGAAATGCTCTCCAAGGGAATAGCACAGATGCCTAAAAGAACCAAATGAGAAACATGATAATGTTGTACTGTTGTCCACAAATAATAAATATCTTATATGAACAGGATTTCTGTGTCTGTACTCCAAAACAATGTGGGATGATTTATTTATTATATAGAAATAGTTACTGGGGCACCTAAGTGGCTCCATTGGTCAAGTGTCTGACTCTTGATTCTGGTTCAGGTCATGATCTCATGGTTCATGAGATCAAGCCCCACATCGGCCTCTGTGCTGACTGAGCAGAGCCTACTTGGGATTCTCTCTCTCCGTCTCTCTCTCTGCCCCTCTCCTGCTGGTGTGTTCTCTCTCTCTCTCAAAATAAATAAATGAACATTAAAAAAAAGAAGTAGTTCTGGATAGAAAGTCTCTGATGATGTAGAGGAGAGAGTAATATTCTTTTTTTTTTTTTTTATTCCCCAAATCTGGATAAACAGAAGGGTACTTAATTAAGACTTCAGTGTAACTAGTCAGCACCAGTGTTTGGAAGTTCCAGAATACCATAATAATAATGGGACACAGTTACAATCAACAAAAGTAAACTTATTCAAATGTTCTAGACATTAGGAACCTTAAAATGTTTTCCTTCATCACCATCGTGTTCCAATTCTAGGTAACAATTCAAAGCCAATGCCACAATGTTAATATGTGGGCCTCTGTCTTCTCCATATCACTGTCCAATAGTCAAGGCATCCCCTACTAGTTGTGGCATCACATGCAGGCCTGGACATAGTGGACCTATCCATCTGACTCCATTCTACATTTGCAGACTTGGTACTGGCTTCGGACAATTCCTAGAGTTGGAATTGATTCAGATAGCCAGAAGCCAGGACACTTCCATCTACCTAATCCCAGGCAACATCTAAAGGCAGTAGGAACAGGACTAATGGTCATGGTCAATCTTGTATTCCGGGACTAAATGAGGGTCAAGGTTTGGGCCAAGAGTCATTGTCTTGTTGCTAGGGAAGGTAAATGGGTAGGACTTACATGGGGTTGGTGTTGGCATTACTTGGCTTAGCTTTGTAACATAAAAAAATTATGTTGGAGGTTTTGGAGTCAGAAGACCTGGGTTTGTAAGGTGGTTTTATTTTATTTATTTTATTTTATTTTATTTTATTTTATTTTATTTTATTTTATTTTAATACATATATTTTTTAATGTTTATTTTTCAGAGAGAGAGACAGAGACAGAGACAGAGTGTGAGTAGGAGAGGGACAGAGAGAGAGGGAGACACAGAATCCAAAGCAGGCTTCAGACTCTGAGCTGTCAGCACAGAGCCCGACTTGAAGCTTGAACTCACAGACTGTGAGGTCATGACCTGAGCCAAAGTTGGACACTTAACCCACTAAGCCACCTAGGCGCCCCATGAGATGTCTTTAAATATAGGTGGTCTACAACTTCTTCGATACTTTTCCCTTAAAACATGGAGTTTAATTCTTCTCCCCTTGAGTGTGGGCTAAAATTAGTGACTCATTTCTAATGAATAAAATATGGCAAAAATTATGGGATGTCACTTATGAAATTAGGTAATAAAAAGACTGTGACTTCCACCTTGGGTTCTGTTTCTTGTTCTCTTTTGAATTGTTTGCTCTGGAGGAATCCATCTGCCATGCTGTGAAGAAGCCCTGTGGAAAAGCCCACATGAATAAGCTTGAAAGTGGATCTTCTGATGCCTCCCAAAAGCCCATGAGTGGGCTTGGAAACAGATTCTCCTCCAGTAGACCCTTGAGATGAGTACAGCCTGGGCCAATACCCTGATAGTAGACCAGCGAGAGATCTTGAGCCAGAATTACATAGTAAACTGCTCCCAGATTCCTGAGCCTCAGAAACTGTATGAGATGATGAATATGTATTGTTTTAATCTGCTAAATTTTGGGGTCATTTTTTATGCAGCCATAGATAAGTAATACAGTTTGTGATCTAGTGTTGTCATGACTGCCCAGCAGTCTGATCTCTGACCTGCCAGAACCTTACAGTCTTTAGTTGTAGAGGGTGGGTAATATTGTTGGTACCTAGGGAAAATAATAATTGCCAGGATTACATATGATAATACCTGCTGTAACCAGGGCTATTAAAAACTGAGCTGCTGACCTAATTTTTGTATTGTGATTGCTCCTATTATTATTTATTAAATGGAAAAGATCAACTGTTGGTTTTGCTACCAGCTGGGAGCAGATAAGGTATTGCCCCTGTTTGCTTGTTAAGCAGTTTGGAGGCAAAGACTCTGACTGGGAATAACAGCTGGCTATGGGGGCCCAGGCTGTTCTACCATGTCAATGAAGGGGAGCCAAGCAAGATTAAAGAGCACTAAAACATGGAGAACCCCTGCAAAATTTAAACCAAATGGAAACAAAGTGCCAATTCCCTATGTACAACATCGTTTCTAGGTATAAAAATACTTCTCAACATACCTGGAGGCTCTGTGGATCTAGTGGCTGAGGCACGCTGAGCTGTGAAGCAAAAATGCTCTTCACGAGAGAGTTGCTCAGTGGTGGCAATCCATGGTACATGCCGTCTGTAACAGACTGGTAGGCAGAAGCATTTCCAGTTGCCAAAAATGTTCTTCTACCAAAACATGGAGGGAATCTCATTAAAAGCAGTTACTTAAGCTTCTGAAGCTCAAAACTTTCTTCAAAGTTACTATAGCAAGATAACATTTTGAGATAAACACAGGTTTCCTCCTCAATGACCTCATCCCTCATCCTCCTTTCTTTACACACTGCCCTTCACTCTCATGATTCACAACCCTTAAAGGGAAAGGTAGATATATTATACACTAACATTGTCCAATAGAACTTTATACAATGTGGAAATGTTCTTTTTTTTTTTTTAAGTTGATTTATTTATTTTGAGAGAGAGAGAGAGAGAGAGAGAGCGAGCAAGCACATGTGTGAGCAGGGGAGGGGCAAAGAGAGGGAGAGAGAGGATCCCAAGCAGACTTCGTGCTGTTAGTGTGGAGCCCAACTCGGGGCTCAATCCACAAACTGTGAGATCATGACCTGAGCCAAAACCAAGAGTTGTATGCTTAATCAACTGAGTTACCCAAGCAAGTGCCCCACAATATGGAAATGTTCTGAGTTTGATTGTCCAGGATGGTAACCACTAGCCACATGTGACTGTTGAGCACTTGAAATGTCGCTACTGTGATTTGAAGAATTGAATTTTAAATTTTACTTCATCTAAGTCAATATCAATTTGAGACTTTAAATTAGATAGCCACATGTGACTACTGCATTGGATAACTCAGCTGTAGCTCTAGAACAAAGATATGGATTGTTGAATTATTTTAAGACAATAGCAGAGACAATTCTTGATATGCAAAACCAAATTTTTAAAAAACATTTTTTTTTTAATTTTTTTTTTCAACGTTTATTT